CGCATATTTCCCTCTCATCTGGGTGTTTCCCTTCTCATCTGCGTATTTCCCTTTCATCTGGGTATTTCCCTTTCATCCGGACGTTTCCATTCTCATCTGGGTATTTCCCTTTCATCCGCATATTTCCCTCTCATCTGGGTATTTCCCTTTCATCCGCGTTTTTCCCTCTCATCTGGGTATTTCCCTCTAATCTGGACGTTTCCTTTCTCATCTGGGTATTTCCCTTCCAATCTGGGTATAGGGCTTTTTCAAGGTTGGACCAACGGTCACTTTTTTGGGGTCACGTGCGAGAAATTTTTGAATCGCTGGTAAATAGGCGAAGTGGAATTCGGTCTACTATATGCTGGATCGCCTGCTGGAACTGAAGGTGCCCGCCCGGTTAGTGTTGGCTGACATGACTGACAAAGACCGACGTGGCCTCGATCTGACTGCAGACCAGTGGTCAACGGCGGAGCAGCTCCTCGACTTTCTCAAGTTAGTGGACCGAGTCACTACCACGCTGGGCGGCGAATCGTACTCCACCATTTCATGGCTGATCCCTCTCCTCGTTGGTCAGAAGACAAGGTGCTTGCGGCGTGATGAAGATGACATTGACACGCCAGTTGACCGTGTCCGCAGACGTTTCGCGGAAAATATCACAACTCGGTTTGGCCTCTCTCCGTTGGACACCTCCAGTAATGCTGTCTTGGCTGCTGCCCTGGATCCAAGATTCAAAGACTTGAAGTTCCTCCAGGAAGATGAGCAAGATGCAGTGAAGGACCTGTGTTATATATGCACTCTGATGTAATATATTATGTACTCTGTATGCATTTGTATATACTCATTGCGCATGCTCTGAATCATGGTCTTACTCTACATGTATCCATGCCGGCTGGTTGACTCTGGTGAGCTGCGTGTGAGACTGCATGTAGGGTGTACGTGGATACACAACAAATGGCGACGAAGATGAAAATTTTGTTTTGAGATAATTTGTTTAGTTGAGTGCTTGCGAGAATTTGGTAAACCATGGCCTCTTCAGGGAAGGCCACCCTGGAGCAGTTTTCTGGCGGGGACTTTGCGGAGTACCGGGAACGGCTTGAGTTTTATTTTCTCGCAAATGACATCGGTGTTGTTTCAGCCAGTGCAAACTCATCGGAGAAAGAACGCGTACGTAAGAAGATGATTGCACATCTAATCTCTTCACTGTCGAAAGACGTCTACTCCACTTTGCGGAACCTCTGTCTGCCGGAGTCAATATCGGACAAGACCTTCGAGCAGATTTGTGACCTACTGAATGGATATTACAGAGTGGAGCGTTCCACGATGACTTCTTCTTTTCAATTTCGCGATTGCAACCAGAGACCAGCGGAAAAGCTGGTAGATTACGCAAATCGTTTGAAACGTGCGGCAGTAGCCTGCGACTTTGGGTCGCATTTAGACAGATCCCTAAAAGATCAATTTATGGCAGGAGTCTACAGTCAGGAGATCAAGCGGACGATTCTGACTAGTCCTGACAGCAAGACGAAGAAGTTTCAGGATGTGCTGGATATCGCTTTACGGGAGGAGCGCGCCATCATGTTTGCTGAGCAGCTTACTCCAGGTACTACTACTAGTACTAGATCAACATCTACGCCGTCCGAGTCAGTCAACAAGATGAGAGCTACCACTACCAGTAAATCCAAGTCAGCAAGTGCATCTAGAAAGCCAAATCACTCGCAGGACCAGAAAGGGTCAAAGTCGACGAAGGGCAAGGTTTGTTATCGTTGTACATCTGATTTGCATATGGCTGACAAGTGTCCTCATCGATCTACTACTTGTCGATACTGCAAGAAACGAGGACATCTCGAAAGAGCCTGCATCACCAAGCAGAAACGAGGTGAAATTCACCACGTGGATGACGAACCTGATGATCGAGGTGAGATCGTTTCTGATTGTGATGTTGATGATATGCCTATCTACAAGATTCGATCGGGTAGTGGAAAACACCCTCCGTATACTGTAATGGCGGAAATCAATGATGTTTGTTCACCAATTTGCATGGAAATCGATACAGGTAGTGCTGTATCCATCATCACCAAATCTGATTACGAGAAATTGGGTGCACCAGTGTCGTCTCTTGTAACTCAATCAGTCCAGCTCATTGGGTTTTCCGGTTCCATCATCCCCTGTTTAGGTGAAGGGAAATTTCCAGTGTCAATAAATGGGCAAAAGCACACTGTTCTCTTGCGCATTGTCGATACAAATGGTCCATCTCTGTTGGGCAGAGATCTTCTCTCACTTTTCAAACTAGAATGGAGGGAAATATTCTCGGTGAAGTCTGAAATTGATAATGCTCTTATACGCGCAAAGCTGCAGGAGGAAATGCTTCAGAAATTTGAGAGTTTGTTTGACACGTCAACTGTCGGCAAATTAAATTCAACTCAGGTCACTTTGCGTGTAAATGATTCAAAACCTGTGTACATGAAGGCTCGTTCAGTACCATTTGCAATCCGGGAGAAATACGAGCAAGGCCTCTCTAAACTGGAGGAGGAAGGTGTAATACGCAAAGTTGAATTTTCGAAATGGGCTTCACCTACGGTTCCGGTTCAAAAACCAGACGGAAATGTACGTATCTGTGCTGATTACTCGCGCACCATCAATGCTAATTCGGATTTAGAAAAATATCCGTTACCTACCATAGACGAAATTCGTGCCAAGTTGAATGGTGGGCAGAAGTTTACGAAGCTTGATTTATCTCAGGCGTACCACCAGCTAGAGCTTGATCCTAAGTCGAGGGGGTATACTACAATCAATACCCACCGTGGTCTGTTTGAATATGTACGTCTACCGTTTGGCATTCATTCAGCAGTCTCCATATTTCAGCGTACTATGGAGACTCTCCTGGCGGGTATCGATGGCTGCATTGTGTATGTAGATGATATTCTAGTCACAGGTCGAAATGATGCAGAGCACAAAAGAAATCTGGAAATGGTTTTGCAGCGGCTACAAGATGCGGGAATGCGTTTGAAAGCCACGAAAACCGAGTTCATGCTACCGCAAGTCTCGTACCTTGGTCATACTTTGAGTGCGAGTGGTATGGCGCCTTCGCCAGGAAGAATCGATGCTATGGTTAATGCCAATGCTCCTACGTCCGTTAGTGAGCTTCAATCGTTTATTGGGTCTGCGAATTATGTTCGCAAATTCATACCCAATTTTGCTCGGATTATGGCGCCACTTTACGCTCTGCTAAAGAAAGATACTGTTTGGAGATGGTCAGATTCTGAACAGACAGCGTTCCTTACGATAAAGAATGCTTTATGTTCCACGGAGGTTTTGGCGCACTATTCGGCGGGTCTGGAGCATGTCTTGCAATGCGACGCATCAGGAACGGGTCTTGGTGCGGTTCTTTTACAGAAAAACGAAAATGGTGATTACCAACCCATTTCGTATGCGTCTCGTCTGTTGAATAAAGCGGAGAGAAACTATTCAAATATTGAACGGGAGTCACTCGCTCTTGTGTTTGGTGCAACCAAATTTCGCCAATATCTCCTGGGAAAGAAATTTGTCCTTGAAACTGATCACAAACCTCTGGTGAAATTGTTCGGCATGCAGGAAGGTGTTCCGTTCCTGGTTTCTTCCAGATTAAAGAAATGGAAGTTATTACTTTCAGCGTATGACTACACCATCCAACACATTGCGGGAAAGGCAAATGTTCTGGCAGATTTCATGTCTAGAAAACCAATTTCTGGAAATCCTTCTACCCCGGAACTAGGTGAAACACGTGTACTTTTCATTGAGGACGAGCTCATTGATGCTCAAGTTGTATTGAATGCCACTGGAGATGATCCAGTTCTAGAGCGTGTTCGTCACTACACTTTGAATGGTTGGCCAGAGCATGTGAAAGAGGTGGAGTTACAGCCGTACTTTGTAAAGCGCTGGGAACTATCTATTGTAAATGATGTATTACTCTGGAATGAACGAGTGGTAATCCCCATGGCTTTGCGCGCGATGCTCTTGAGTGAATTGCACTCGGAACACACAGGCGCTGTACGAATGAAACGTATGGCACGTCGATATTTCTGGTGGCCAAAGATGGATGACGAAATTGAAGATACCACCAAAATGTGCGCTACGTGTCAAGAACAGGCACGCAAACCTAGTAAATCCTATGCTACCTGGTCATGGCCGTCGGGTCCATGGCGTCGTCTGCACATAGACTTTGCGGGTCCATTCATGGGCAAAATGTTTCTGGTGATTGTCGATGCGTATACGAAATATCTGGAAATTGTCCCGATGACACATGCCACATCAACGGGTACTATCAAAGCTTTGAGACGTTTGTTTGCCACATTCGGTCTACCCACTCACATCGTTAGTGATAATGGGACCCAGTTCACTAGTGCTGAATTTACCTCGTTTCTCCAGAAAAATGGAATCGCACACACTCGTTCAGCTCCCGGCCATCCGGAGACAAACGGTCTCGCTGAGCGATATGTCGGTCATTTTAAAGCTAAAATGAAAGCAATGGGAACAGAAGGTGACGACCTAGATACACGACTACAACGATTTCTAATGACATTTCGGTCAACTCCTACGGCGAATGGTAAATCACCGGCAGAAATGCTATTTAATCGCCAACCACGACTACGTTATGATGCTTTGAAAACAACACGGAATGCGGAGGCACAATCTTTCAATCAAAACCAGCATTTGCTACCAGAATACAAACCGGGTGATGCTGTGTTTGCGTTACGTTTTCAAAACCATGGTACAACCTGGGTCCCTGGTGTTGTTCTCTCTATCTGCAGTGCTATGAATTACTCTGTCCAGGTAAATGATGTGGTCTGGAAACGACACCGTAACCAACTCCGGCCACGTTCAATACCACTTTCTCAGTTAGCAGAACAGACACGTTCTGCACCACAGCAGCAACAACTCCAGCCGCAGCAGCAACAACTCCAGCCGCAGCAGCAGCAGCAACAACAACTGTCACCACAACAGCAACAGCCTCAGCCGCAGCAGCAGCAGGTGCCACAGCAGTTGCCGCCTCAGAAGGCTCAACAGCCGACGACTTCACAGCAGAAAGAGCAGCCCATGCAACAGTCGCAGGATGAGCAGGGTCAACAGTCGTTAGCTTCTACAGCCCCAGCTGATGCTGTACCTGTTGACCGGCAGGTGACTCGATCTGGTCGGTCAGTCGTAAGACCAGCTCGGTATAACGGATGAGACATTTTATACATGTAGGATATGTAATTATTATATTATTTGCATGGATTGATTGAGATGATCGTGAATGCATGTACGTGGTTCTCTTGTTGCATTTGTATATATCAGTATAATGCTCTGTATAGTACATACCACACATAGAACATTGAACTTTGATAATTGGCACGTCAGACGATGGTACATTATTACATTGTCTGTTCTATGCTATTGTTCCTTGTCATGAAAATGTTTTGTTTTCGGTGTTACCTATTTTTGCGAGGGGGATATTGTTATATATGCACTCTGATGTAATATATTATGTACTCTGTATGCATTTGTATATACTCATTGCGCATGCTCTGAATCATGGTCTTACTCTACATGTATCCATGCCGGCTGGTTGACTCTGGTGAGCTGCGTGTGAGACTGCATGTAGGGTGTACGTGGATACACAACAACCTGCTAGTTGAGCTGGCTAGTATCGGAACTTCACCTGCCGTTCCGCCTGGACCAAGCTCCGAACCGCCTGCGAAACGAAACTGTTCCCTGGATGACCTCCTTGGTGAGGAAATAGCAAATGAAGGCGAGTCTGTGGTAGCGGAGGTGATGGCTTACCTTCAGGAGAGGCCCGTGAGTAGAGCGAGTGATCCGCGCACTTGGCGGGCTGCCATTGAGTCTCGCTTTCCTCGCCTGGCAAACCTTGGTAAGCGGTACTTGTGCATACCGGCAACGTCGGTATCGTCAGAGCGAGTATTCTCTTTTGCCGAGAGAACTGGGCACAAGCGCCGCAGCAGACTCCCAGCAACAATGATTGATGCCATTGTCTTCCTACACAAGAACACATTCCTTTTGAAGCTGTCAGAGAATCCCCTCCCTGGGCCAGAGGTACCACTCACTCTCGCCACAGATGATGATGCTGAAGAAGTTATATTTCTCGCCGGCCGAGCGGAGCGAGTGAGGCCAGAAAGGATTTCTCGCCCAACAAAATTATTTTTCTTGCGAATATGGAATCTGATGTTTTCTCTTTTTGTTGCTGTTCTTTATGCCTGACTCCTTCAGTCAATTTTTGTGTCTCACCAGTGTCCCCACCCTCCCACCCTTCATGTCTGCCCATCTTCTTCCATTTCTTTCTTGGCTGTAGATATGTTGTGCCTGTTTTTATGCTGCCATGTTGCCACTTGGGTTATACACCCGGTTTTTTCCCTCATTCATGTGTCCGTCGGCGCGAGGGTTTTTTCCCGGCTGGCTCGGTCCAGAGAAATTAATCTGACGGTCCCAAGTGGTGCTTGTCCTGGCTTATTTATGTTAGGTGAATGTACTCATTCTTTCCTTCTGGGGTCTGTCCCCCTGTTGTTGCTCCTAGTTTTCTTCTGCATTCCGGTTCACATCTGGCTGCGGCCTACTATCCTCAAACATCTGGCTGCGGCCTACTACCCTCACTCTGTGTGCTCCTGCTCTGTTGTCTGGGTCCATGTCGTTATGTCGGTGTACGTGGAGCGAGAATGTGAAGATCCTCCTCCACTGCCGCAAGTAGCGCAGGTGGTACAGGACACAGTGGACACCTATAGCACTTGCAGCTCTCTGTGTTCTAGGCAGCTAGTCTCCTAGACATTCACTCATTACTACTACACTATACTAATACAGTAAACACCTGGTTTAATTAAGCGACCACCCCACGGTGCAAGCAAAAGCGGTCGTTAAAGCCAGGTGGTCTTTACAACCAGGTCACACAGTGTCTGTGTAGAACTGTCGGTGCATGGAAAAAATGGTCGTTAAGAGCAGGTGGTCGCTAAACACAGAGGTCGCTTACACCAGGCTTTACTGTATATCAATTCAACATATTCACCACGCAATTGTCAATGAACAAAAAAATTACAAAGTACATAAATTATAACACACACACACACTTCACTCTCCACACTTCACGCTTTCTCTTTTGTGCGCCTTGCTGTGTGGTTGTGTATTTCTTTAGTGGACCTGACAGCCCTGCTTTAGTTAGAAAAGTTGCCTGACGATTGAAAAACTCAAGAAACTCGGAGTAGCAACGGATTGTGTTTTCTTGGTGAGGACCGCTTCCATTGTAAATTATAATAATATATTTTGTCTTGATTCTTGAATTTCCTATCATGAGACACGAAATGCAACAGATATGATTGAAAAAATGTGATATTAATTAACAATTTTTATGTATTTTTTTACAATGGCTGCTAAAGGGTACCCGTTAACCCGCCCGTTAAGAAAAATACCCGTTCGTTAGTTAAAGGTACACCCGTTTGACCCCTACTTGAAGTTAAGAGTCGTGGTCGCTACCTCCAGGAATAACGAAGAGCAAGAAGGGAATTCACTTCGCTTTCTGCAAGCACTGAAACATTGATTTCAGCGTTGGACACCGAGGTTTCAACGATATCACCAGGCATGTCAAGTCGCAGTTGCACCAGAAAAATTCCAAGGTCGTTGCTGGCAAACGAGTACGCAAAACTCTGAAAAATCCCGCAAAACTCTGAAAAATCCCGCAAAACGGCACTGGGCCGTACGCATGGGGATAGAGGGCACTTGGTAACACTGGAGGACGCGTACTTTCCAACCGACTCGAGTGACTTTGTGCGTGTCTGTGTGAGCTTTGTGCGTGCGGGCGAGTTAACCGGTGCACACAACACCAAAGCAAACTAACCTTATCGATATTGGTGACGATGCCGATCAGCCCGATGGTGTTGACCATGGCGGGAACGGCAAACCCTGGCAGCCTGCCGCCACGCTTTGCACCAGCCATCGTGTCGGCGCTAGCGGGGGCGTTGCCGGCAGCAACAGCAGCAGGGTTGGCTACTGTAGTTGGCGCCACATTAGCCCACAGAGCGGCATGCTCCGCCGTACCAGGAGCCGGGCCAGCACTGTTGTTCCCACCACTCGCCCCATCATCACCGCCATCGGCCATGCCGTCGTCATAATCCTCCGGGCCAATCAGCACGGAGCTTCCCTTGCGCACGCGGTTTATGTCAAACCTGGCATGTGAACAAGAGCATTGAAAGACAGCGCTCATCACAGTGCAAGCCACTAACGACGTGTGACTAATTCTTCTCTTCTTAGGGGTCGTCGCAAAGGTTTTTTGTCGTCCCTGAAACGAACATGATTCATTTGGGGGGGAGGGGGTGCGAGCCAAAATCGCACGTCGACCGACACTGTACATATGACATGTACATGCATGCGATTTCCGTCGTCCAGCATAGCAAGCTGTGTTCGTTTCAGAGGGAGGGGAGGGGGTCCGAGTACGAAATGAACGATGTTCGTTTCAGGGACGACAGAAAACTTTTGCGACGACCCCTTTACTCCACAAGCGGTCTCTCTACAGCGAATATTAAAAGTAATGAGCCCTCACAAAACAAAGGGAAAGGACCAAGGAACTACAAGTTATGCTATAATGTCCACTAACACCACCAGTTACTTGACAATCGGCTCCTGCGATAACATTGCATGACCATGACTCCATCAGACTCCATCCGAGTCTACCCATCACATAATCATAAGTTGTTTACATATGTGTACAGTGTTCACGTATATGAATGGATTTTGAACATGTGAGTGCGCACATGATCTATAGCACAGCGACGACCCAGGCTTTCTCCCTTACTTGTTCAACTCGGCTTTGACCGACTCTAGTGTGGGGAATTGGAGATTCGGTGGCATTCCACCTCCTTCCTCGTACAGAAACTCCACGGTGGATTGTGCAATGTCAAATAGACCTGCACAGGTGGGATACAAAAAAAAAGAAGGAGAAATTGAAGTCAATGAAAACAACTGAGTGTGTACATGCACATCCTTAAAAAACAAATACAAACACACAGACACACAGATGTAAACATATGCATCAACACCCCCACACACCCACACACACGCATGTGCACGCACGCACGCACACACGGACGCACGCACACACGCACCCCATACACACAGGCGGCCAGCAGCAGACAGAGAGACAGATACACGCACACACACGCACCCCCCCCCCCCCACACACACACAAAACGCCTAAAGACATGCACACGCACACGCACACGCACACACACACACACACACACACACACACACACACACACACACACACACACACACACACACACACAATGTACCATGTACCATGTACCATGTATAGTATACGCTCGTCGCAAGAGAAGCACGCAAATCTGCAAATGCACTGGATGTGCATCCACAGATTTCTCTTATAGCAACGATAGCGAACAAGATCTGAATGAGACAGATCAAGACTTGCGCCAGATAACTGTCCAATCCAAACAACTGGCGAAGCCATGTGAATCGACCACCAATGCACACCTGGTCTACACCACACGGAGTACATCGGCATGTACGCACGCACACACACACACACACACACACGCACGCACGCACACCTCAACTTACCCATGCTGAGAGCACCGCGGATTTGGCCGAGGCCTTGTGTGCGTTCATCGTTGTTGCGGAATCTGGAGCGGATGATGGGAAAGACTTTCTTTTCCCAGGCTGTAAGTAGCAGTGTGTTAGGATCAGTTGACTGAGCTGGACATGCCATGTTGCACACAGCACAAGAATTCAAGACAGGAGCAGAACAAGTTGAAAAAAAGCTGTTAGGTTACGGCTGTCGGTGCGAGCGCGCGCGCGTGTGTGTGTGCGTGTGCACGTGCGTGCGTGTGTGTGTGTGTGTATGTGGGTGGGTGTGCGCGTGCATGCATGTGTGCGTGTGTGCGCTAAGCGCATGATCAGTAGAGCTAGATACACCACCAACTAGACAGGTTTCTAAGATCCTAAGGCTGCGTGTCGTCCTCCCCCCCCCCCCCCCTCCCCCTCC